TTTTTGCCCACTACACACTTCCTCAAATTAATGAGGAAAAATTTGTTGCTGTTGTCACACCCCCGCCGGGAATCGAACCCGGGCTCTTTGGCTTTACGCGCCAATGCTTTGACCACTAAGCTACGAGAGATGACAACAGCAACAACGACAAACCGTACTTATTAGGTCACAAATCCGTCGAACTAATATATACTATGTTTAAACATACATACAATTTTTTAGACATCTTTAGAAGTGAGTTAGTTTAATATGAAATATTATTCTGAAAATTCATTAATTTGAGGAAGTGTGTAGTGGGCAAAAAAGAATTCAAGAAATGAATTTTCAGAATAATATTTCATGATAAACATTTATTAGGTGACATATATTTTTAATTTCTTTCAGTTTGCCCAGAAGGATATTATGGAGACCATTGCATGGATCCGTGTGAATGTGATAATGACAATTTCCTATGTCATCCAGTTAAAGGATGCGTCTGCAAGCATGGGTTCGGTGGAGAAAAATGCACAGATTTATTGTACGCCCGTGTTGTTTCTGAGTATGATTCGAGTGGAGGATCATGGGTATTTGTTGTTACTGGCACCATATTAGCTCTGGTGTTACTAAGTGTCATTATCACAATTTGGTTTTACTACAGAAGACGAGTATCAAATTTGAAAACGGAAATTGCTCACGTTCAGTACATCGCTGATTCACAAGCACTAACAACAGGTTGGACTACTACATTTAATAAGTTTTTTATTATTATCCAATGCTATGCAGTTTGTAACAATTTTTTTCTTCTATAATTTATGCGGAAGAATTTTTTGTTATTATTCGTACTTCCACGAAAAATTTCGCTGAAAAACCTCATCGTTTCTAAAAAACAAATCCTTATTACTAGACAAGATTGTAATCTGACAACCTAGGGTTTAATTTGACATGGAATGTCTGATTTGTATTCATCACATGGACGTTAGTTTGAAGACTGGTCGGACAAGCACCTCTACTACTCTTTGCTATCCTAAGCCAATCTTCATATTCCATGACAAGTAGAAAATGTCACATTCATATTCGGGAAAAATATGTAATTTTTTTCTTAGTACTTATTGTATAAATTTCAGTGCGGTTGCAAAAAGGCGTTCGATAATTTGTTATTTATAATTATATATACCTACCATTTGCGTTCCATAAGACACATAGAATGATTTCATATTTTAGATCGAAATCACTTCGATAATCCTAGTTACACATATCCTTTGCCGCTGAAAGAGAAAGATGACGTAGGGTTACTTAATAATACCACTCATATTCGAAATAATCTTGCAAAAAAGAACAATATGAGTTTAGAAAGACAACGAATGAGTAATCCCAGCAGTTCCATTACAGGCGACGATTGCAATACAAAAGGTTAGTAATTAAAAAATGATAATAGTTTTAACATTTATTGCTGAATAAAATAATATGAGCATTATGTATATATCTGGAAAACCGGGAAATGTCAGGGATTTTTTTGTCAAGAACAGGTCAGGGAATGTCAGGGAAATTTTCCCAGTCAGAGAATTATTAAAAATTCAATTCAAAACAATATTTCTTTTGCCGAATTTCCCATATTTTTTGTAGGACCCAGGTCTATTCCTTCCATTTCTTTAAAATTTAAATAAGTTACATCCCCTAAGAAAATGCACCAATTAAATTCATTTAAACCCCAACAAACTTACGTTTTAAAATATTTCGAAGAACTACCAGTACTTCCTGGAAATATTGAGAATAGTTTTGCTCGAGAAATCGTAGTAGTGATATTTTTCTTCGTATTGTATCAAAATTATCTTCCATTTGAATCATTTTTGTTTGTGGTTTAGTAAAAATAGTTTACATTCGTGATAGAGATTGTGTGAACAACATATCTCTACTTATTATAAGTATTACAGTACTCCAAACATACATCTTTAACAATCTTTTTCGAATTAATCGTTTGCAAGTATAGAAGTGGGATCTTTAAACAAATGAAATGTCACTCTTCTGCCCTGTGACTCAATAGAAAAATAATTTCATGAAGTTTGTATTTCTTCAAAATTCAAAGAGCATGCTAGTTCTTTGAAAATAATTTCAATTTTATCTCATGGAAATGCATTTGCTGGAAGAAGTTTTTCAATTAATAAAGAAATCCTGATTTAATTGAAAAATCGCTCATGGCACAAAGGCGGGTCTATGATTCAGTAGCTTTTCATAACAGAATAAAAACATGGAGGTAGCGTGTAGTGGGTATAAAATTCAAATATGAATTTTCAGAATAATATTTCATATTAAACTAACTCACTTCGAAAAAATGTCTAAATTGTATGTATGTTTAAAAAATATTGACATAAACTAGAAACTAATTCATTTCGTAAGAAGTGCCAATGACTTTTATTTGAAAGAATTAAAACATAAAACAGACCACGATTCTAGCAGTCGTACAAAAACGAAAAATGGATGATTTAGAGGAATTAAAAATAAAAAAAATAGAAAATTTTAGACAGTTCCAGACAAGAAATAGGGGGATAATACGGAGGTGTGCCATCCATGGACTGGTGAGTGTGAATGTAAAGCTGGTTGGAACAGCAAAGACTGCTCGAGACAGTGTCCTATTTTAACATNTTCTTCTTATATAAATACTCAAACTTTGAAAAACACTTTTATTATACGTATTTATTAATGGTAATTTTAAAATGGCAATTTTAAACTAATTCGTTTAAATTTAAAATTAATCACATTTCGTCGTAGTATTCATCTATCCGTATTTCATAACATAAACTAGAAAAAATTACATACCTATTGCTGTGCTGAAATCATGAATCCGGTTTCGGCTTTAGCGAAAATTTTGGCAAGATTTGAATATGGAATATTTGGTAATCAGGCATTGCTTTTTTTAAAACATTTTAGGCGTGGAAGATTCCGGGTCATCTTGGGCAAATAGGGTTTATAACTTCAATGTCCGAACATTTCTGTGGAAGCTGCAACAGATTACGAATTACAGCAGATGGAAATTTAAAAGTTTGCCTTTTTGGAAATACTGAAATTTCCTTAAGAGACGCTCTCCGAGCAGGTTGCAGTGACGACGATCTTGTAACTTTAATTTCAGCAGCTGTTAAGAGGAAAAAGAAACAACACGCAGGTGAAAAATTTTATTAAACATTATTTCAACTATTTTTGAAATTAAAAAGATGCTCAAAGGGACATATAGTTCATGATAACTCGGTCTATTTTGTACTAGTTTTTTATATAATTTTTTACAGGCATGTTAAATCTATTAAATATGGAAAATAGACCTATGATACTAATAGGAGGATAACCATAATTAGTAGGTATGAACATAACCAATTTTCAAAAAAAACAAAATTATAAACTTTGATTATATCTGGTGCTTCAACACTATCATTATTAAACAAATGACTTTGTTAAAGATACAATTATCGTGTAAATGAATATTATTGCCGAAAGTATAAAATCAGTTACTTTGTTTGGTATGGAATGTTTGCGTTTGTTTCGGAACTTATTATTTAAAATATAAGGGAAAGTATTCTTTGCAACTTTCACGCTGTATACCGAGTGCTTCGTATGTAGCGGAATGCCAATTTAAAAAGTTCAAATTACTCTAAAACTTATTCAACAACAGAAACAATTTTTTAAATCTTAATAAAACATTCGAATCGTTCGTCGTATGTTGATTAAGACACTTTTCACTAGCTATTAAATTCTAAGATTATAAGAATCGTTTTATTACATAAAAGTGGCTTTGTCAGGCATATTGAGCACTAATTATACTAGTAGATTATTTACAGTATATCACCATGCATCTACTCATATTTATTGCTAATGACATACATATGATTGGCAAGTAACAGTTGTACTTATATTTCACTTTTTTAATTAACTGTACGAGATTAAATTGAATTAACATCAAACGTTGATGATTAAATTTTTTGTGAAAATATTAGAATTGGACTGACTTTCTATTTTAATATAACACCTAAAATTAATTAATATATATCGTAAATAATTATTTCACAACGTATTATAGCGAATGCAGCTTGCTTCCCCCCTTTAATTTCCGGTTACGCATTTTACAAAATTAAACCACATGCGCATATACCGAACGGTAAGATGTTACACATCAAAAAAGTAGCCATAGAATACCTTCATTTCGTATATTAATATTAGAATTATCTCCATTTAGAAATTAAAATTTTCATTGTCATTTAATTTCTGTGTAGATCCAAGCTTAAAAATAATATTATTTTGCAAGTAACGGTTGCGGTATGTGATATTAAGCCAATAACTTTTTGTCGATTTCTACGTGTTATATATGTCTTTGTGTTTTGTAATGTAAAGCGAACAAATTGTATGTATTTTTTTTAATTAAAACTTTAATAATGAATGATGTACTACGTACTGCATAGTTCTATGAGAAATTTTAACAATTTTTTGTACATACATATATTTTAGTTCGTTGTTATAACTATTTTTAATTCTGCAGGACAATTAAAATATATCATTTTATAACATTTGTTATTTTGTCTCTTTTTTTGTTGTTTTGTGACGTAAAATAAATAACGTGACTGTCCTACTTTATTCTTTTTATTTTTTGAGTTATAAACCAAAGATTATTATGTCTTTCGTTGAACTTAGGCAAATTAATCAACGAAAACAAATGCAGTAAATTATACAAATACAGTGAATAAACGCACTTATTTGTTAATTTTCGGCGTATATTCATTAAAATTTTAAAAGAGGCGGATATTGGATGTAACTATTCATGGAGATCATTACCATGTTTCTTCACAAATTCATTGTTAAATTGGTACTGCAGAGCGAAAATGAGCTTGTCCAAATTTTAAAATTGGTTAAAAAAGACAAAATTGTTAATTATTTTCTTTGCTTTCCCAAAAACACATTTTCGTTAAAACACATGCCGTGCAAATATCGTATAAATTTAAATTGGCTTGAACCATTGCAAAAAAAATTTTGCTCGTCCACATTTGAAAAGTGGTAAAAAAGAACCCGAAGTTAGCAATCGTTTCCTATTAATTCGCAGTATTCATTATTCCAGCCGTTTATTACATAAGCAAAATTTTAGTAATTTTTAGCCCCCGCTTCCCCTTGTCAACAAAAGTAAGCAAAGCTCTTACTCTTCCGTATAAAGACTGGTGTATATTTTTTTAAAATTTGTTCAAGTTTCTTTATTGTAACAAAAAAAGAAATGGTAATAGAGACCATTTCAATAGATAAAAGTAGTAAATTTATGATGGGAGAAAACATTTTTAATAATTGTTTATAAACAAAAATATTGCTGTATAATAGTGCATCATTGGGGCTGCAGATAATATATGTATAAGTTGAATGCCTTTACCCAGTAAAATGAATTATTCAATGGTTACAATAGTCGTCTGGTAAATGTATAAAAGCAATTAATCAAATATTTAAGGTTTGGAGGGGAAGAAGGTAACTGTTACCCACCTTAACTTAAAAAATTAGAAATAACATAAACTCGCTCTTCGGTTTGATCAGTAATTTATAGAGACTGCTTACGACATCCTTATGAGGTCTAATAAGATCAAAATTGCAATCCTCGTTTGGTGGTTTCGATAAACCTCCAACCGATAACTTCAACGTTTTTATTATGTCTGTGAGTAATGACAAGAATGGATCTCTTTCCCTTTGTATATGTATTATCTATGATCTATGACTAAAAAGAAGAAGTGAGGATTTCGCAAGTGTAGGTATATCCTAATATATCCTATGAATGTATTCGAACTGTCCGAACATTACTACTTAGTACTTGGATAACTTTTTGACCTTTGGACAATGAAAAATTTAAATTACCTTAAAGGAATGCTATTATCGCCGCTTTTACACATTAATTAAACGACTATAACCTAACCTAGAAACGTTAAATTAATAATTAACATCCGAAAATACAATAATTAAAAAATAACTGTATAAAAACAAAAATTATCATTTACAGGAGTTCTTTTAAGCGTTAATTCTGATGTTAGTTATCACATTGTAATACTTGGTATTGGAACGTTATTAAATTTTAGATAAACAATTTTTAACGTGTTGTATCTGCATGAATTATCAGTATTTACAAAAATAATCATAATTATGTTGAAAAAGATTTTATGACCAATATTAACATATTTACTATTATCAAAATCGGGGTAAACAATTTTATTTATGTATATATTGATTTCGTAAAAGTGTAAATAATATATTATTGAATTTAGTGAAATGTATTGTTCAGTTAGGGCAGGTCGGCTAAATCGAAAGTTGTTAGAAATATACAAAATAGTTGAGTGCAGACTGCATGTTAAAGTAAGCATTTCCTTTATAAATACTTCTTTATTATTATATTTTATTTCCATACTTACTAATTTTACGTATCTCAAAACTAAAATTTACTTGCATGTACATAATATCTTTTTTGTTAGGTTCAAAAGAATGAATTACTCAAAGATAGTCCACTTCTTGATAATTTTGGAAGACAGCATTCGTATTTACGAATTTCATTAACAGAAAGGTGTAATTTACGTTGTAAGTATTAATATATTTAAATAGGTAGGTGCCTAAACATTAAACTTTTGCTTAACTGAATAAAAGCATTTCCACAATTTATTTTTAACTAGGTGTGATGGCAAACTGCTTTTCGTGATCATTATTCTAGTATATTCATTTAGTTATTTTGATTTAAAAAAAAAAACAGGTAGCATGGACTACCTACCTGGTAAATCACATGATTCTTTTTGTAGATAAAAAAGTTTTCTAAATTTTAATGACGTTTGCTTGCCAATGGGCAGGGAGGTAAATTATATTAAGCTGCTTCCCCCAGTTAAAAAGGAAGATATATTAATCGACAAATTGCGAACAAATTTTGAAATATTTTCGAACTCTAGCAAAATTGCACAAATGCACCCCATCAGATTGCTCTAGGAAATAATGAAGCAGAAGAGCAGAAGTAAAAAGTTCTCTCTCGCCTACGTACCAACCCCGTCGCTTGACCCCTCTTCAGGGGCAAGAAAACATGCAGCCGTTAACAGAAAATTGTTTAACTAAAAGCTACCTTATAAAGCTAGTTTATAATATTTTCCGAGGTTTCAGGGATGATTGGACAGTTAAATAAAACATTCAAAACGGTTTGTTGAGTTATTTCTTGTTATCATCAGTGATTTTTTTAGGCACGATTTGCCGTCCTTAATATCTGGCCGCCCTAGGCCCGGGCCTACTGGGCCTTAGGGCAAATCCGCCAATTAATTGCTTATCTATCGAATGCGACCCGACATATTTTATAACTGAAAAGAGGAAAAATTATCTTTTTAACTAAAGCATAGCTAACTATGTACAAGTTTATATCATAATTCGAAATTTTCAACTTTGGTTTATAACTCGAAAAGAAAGGACAATAGCAAGTTATTGAAAATACCAATAAATTTGTATCAAAAAACGGATCCACTAGCCGCCATAATTTTTTTGTATCTCATATAATAGTTATCGAGTTGTCCTATGTTGAAATTTGCCAACTCTGTACATTTGTGTAAGATCCGTAGCAGTGGGTGGGTTTAGAGAAAACCTATCATATTTAGTTTTATATATAAATAAATGTAAATTTTTTATATCACTATGCATATGTAGTTACACATTAATTTTAGGTGGTTATTGCATGCCTGAAGAAGGAGTGCAATTAACACCATCAGAAGACTTAATGAGTACCGATGAAATAGTAAAAATAGCTAGACTTTTTGTAGAACAGGGCGTAAGAAAAATTAGACTTACTGGTGGAGAGCCAACTTTAAGGAAAGATTTAGTGGACATAATTGGTAATTAAATATAATTAAATTGAGGGAGTCGGTAGGAAAATATTTGGTAATATTTTTGAAAAGCTTAAAAAGACGGTTGTCATGATACTAATCGACACCTGACTTGAAAAACTTTTATTAATAATCATCCACCATTTTGGGTCCTGGCCGTAGATAGATATACAATAGTTGACCTTGGCCATAGATAATATAAACTTACTAGCTATCTATAATAAAAATTAACTATAAATATATTTCAAAATAAACAGAAATAACTACACTTTGTACTTTTATTTCAATTCAATTCAATTCACTTCTAAGTGAATAACTGATGAACTGACAGGCATATTCCTGGTTGCAGCTATCATTGCTATTGGTTGGTACCAAAATGGCGGATGATGATAATATTTATTATTGTTTTTAGTGCCCTCCAGTTCAGCAACTTAGCCCCGCCAAATAAAAAAAGAGTTATGTTCTAATGTGCTGTAGTATGCTGCCTCGCAAAATTTGTTATCGACAGAAACAAATTGACGCATCAATATAATTTTTTCTTATATAATAAAAAAATTATATGAATTTATTTCGAAAATGACGGGGCTAACTTGTTTGATGAAATTATTTTAATGCGCCAATGTTTCTATTGAAAAAAAATTGCTAGGCATGGCATTAAACCTTTTTTTTTAATAACGGACCTAATTCACCTGATATTTGAATAATTTGTGTTTTCAAAAATGTAAAATAATGGAGAATATTTGAAGACTGGTTGGACAAGCACCTCTACTACTCTTTGCTATCCTAAGCCAATCTTCNAAAAATTGCAAAGCATGGCATTAAACCTTTTTTTTTTAATAACGGACCTAATTCAGCTAATATTTGAATCATTTGTGTTTTCAAAAATGTAAAATAATGGAGAATATTCAAATAGAATTGTACGTTTGAAACAATAATGAAATAAAAAGTATCTTAAAATCATCTTCAAAAGTTTTTGATAACGTTCTTCATACGTGGAAAATATTTCGACCCACTTTTCCAAAGCTTGACACTGATTTATGTATTTATAACAGGTGTCTAATTTTCTTACAATTCCTTTGAAACATTGATATAATCGATAAATGATATTCAAATGAATTAATGCAAAAAGCGGTATTTGTTTTCACGTAAAAGAAAAAAATGAAAAGTAAGTGACTTGATATTCTTAGCTTCTCTTGCATAATTTGCTGAGTACCTACACATAAAACAATCTGTAATAAAAAAAAAATGAAAATTGGAGAAACTTTGGCGGTTGTTGTAGAACAAACAAAATAGCTCAAACCCCAACGCCAAAACACGACACTTTGGTTGTCCGAAGCACTTTTCGGTAACAAGATTACTTTTTTCAGGGACTTACCTAAGTGAACTGAAAACTAAAGTGTCGTGTTTTGGCGTTGGAGTTTGAGCTATTTTGTTTGTTCTAAATCTGTAATAAGATGTGACGATAATTAGCTATTTGTGCACATGTACAGTGATCAATTGGAGACATTTGAAAATTGCAATGTTGTGAAGTTAAGTAAAGCAATGCATTAGGCCAGTTTTTATGTTTCTCCGCATGGGAGGTGGAGCGAAATTAATTCATACAATAGGCACAAGTGGTAATTTACGTGGAGAAAATGTTTTTGTAAATTCAGCACAGATTGAGGGGCACTAATTTTTTGAAAACGCCCTTATACCTATTTTTACAATTAAGTTCTATTTGCAGCCAAGTTAAAATGCATAGAAGGTCTGGAGAACATAGCATTAACAACAAATGGAGTCGTGCTGACAAAGAAACTTGCTTATCTTCAAAGGGCTGGTTTAGATAATTTAAACATAAGCTTAGATACACTTAATAAAAATAAATTTGAAACAATAACCCGCAGAAAAGGATGGGAACGCGTGATGATGGGAATAGACCTCGCCTTGCAACTAGGATACAGTCCTGTTAAAATTAATTGTGTTGTTATTAAAGGTTTGTTTTTAATAAGTAAAATTCATTTATATTAATCATTGTTTTTTAATTGAAATTGATTTATAATTGTAGGCTTTAATGAAAATGAAGTTTGCGATTTTGTAAAGTTAACCAAAGATAAAAAATTGGATGTAAGATTTATTGAATATATGCCTTTTACCGGAAACAAATGGGAAATGGGAAAAATGATTTCTTACAATGATATTATAGCAAATATCAAGTTAAAATGGCCTGAAATTTATCCTCTTGAAAATGGACCAAACGATACGTCAAAGGTATATAATTCTGAAATTTCAAAATAAAATTTTTTCCTGAAACAAACCATCACGTGTTATTAACGCGGATACGTCTAGTAAAGAGTAAACTACAATTGCAATTAACTACTGTGGTGGTAGTAGATTTTCTTCAAAAAATACGATACTTATGGGAATAACAAGAAAACGCATCAGCATATTTTACGGCATGAACGTTTGGGATAGTTACAGGCATCAAAAAAGTAGGGAATAAGCCGTATTTTTATGGAATTTTTTTATTCATATGTAATTAGAATTAGTAAGAAATGGAAACTATAAATTCTACCGGTTTTGTTTTGTTACGATTAGTCCAAAAGTTATTACTGATTTCATAGTAGGTTGATTGTTTTCTTTTGAAGTGTAAAGTATCACTACAATCGTTAGGTTTCCGAATATCTGTCTGGGGTATTTACATTTTGTAACTACTGCCTATACGCCCCCCCCCCCCCCCGAGTGGGCTACGTTTTACTTTGCCAATTCGCATGTCAACATTTATGACTTACATCTCGACACGGACCCAACACTACATTAATGGTGTAACTTTTGTAAAACTGCCTAATTAAAGAATCATAAAAGAAAACAATAATGACGTTTCACGTAATTTTTATTCGAAAACTCAACAGAGCTTTGGCCCATGCGGTCATTTACAATGATCCTACTACATAAGATTAGCATTAGTAGCTGATGGAAATAAAACACTCAAAAATATTTTCTTTTAGGATACTGAGCTTTTGCCTGTGTTCATCTATCTGTTCTGGCTTTAATAAATATTTTATAATAAATATTAACCGCATCTTCAATATACAGATTAAAAATTATCGATAGCAAGGTGCATTTTTGTCTAATTCCCTTCCTAATATTTACTTCTCTGTGTTGCTGCTCAATTTCTATAAGGGGCGATTCATATGTATATTACGTCACATTGTTTCTGCCACTTTTTGGGTCCATCCCCTTCCCCTCCATTACATTTGGTCATGCAGGTGTTATACCCCTCCCCTTTGTCATACTTATTTTTTAAAGCCAATATATTATTTTTAACAGTATTCCCAGGAAAAATATAAACATATATACTTAATAAAAATAATGCTAACGTTAACTATGTACTTCGATCAAGTATCAGTAAAATTCTTCTTATATAAATACTCAAACTTTGAAAAACACTTTTATTATACGTATTTATTAATGGTAATTTTAAAATGGCAATTTTAAACTAATTCGTTTAAATTTAAAATTAATCACATTTCGTCGTAGTATTCATCTATCCGTATTTCATAACATAAACTAGAAAAAATTACATACCTATTGCTGTGCTGAAATCATGAATCCGGTTTCGGCTTTAGCGAAAATTTTGGCAAGATTTGAATATGGAATATTTGGTAATCAGGCATTGCTTTTTTTAAAACATTTTAGGCGTGGAAGATTCCGGGTCATCTTGGGCAAATAGGGTTTATAACTTCAATGTCCGAACATTTCTGTGGAAGCTGCAACAGATTACGAATTACAGCAGATGGAAATTTAAAAGTTTGCCTTTTTGGAAATACTGAAATTTCCTTAAGAGACGCTCTCCGAGCAGGTTGCAGTGACGACGATCTTGTAACTTTAATTTCAGCAGCTGTTAAGAGGAAAAAGAAACAACACGCAGGTGAAAAATTTTATTAAACATTATTTCAACTATTTTTGAAATTAAAAAGATGCTCAAAGGGACATATAGTTCATGATAACTCGGTCTATTTTGTACTAGTTTTTTATATAATTTTTTACAGGCATGTTAAATCTATTAAATATGGAAAATAGACCTATGATACTAATAGGAGGATAACCATAATTAGTAGGTATGAACATAACCAATTTTCAAAAAAAACAAAATTATAAACTTTGATTATATCTGGTGCTTCAACACTATCATTATTAAACAAATGACTTTGTTAAAGATACAATTATCGTGTAAATGAATATTATTGCCGAAAGTATAAAATCAGTTACTTTGTTTGGTATGGAATGTTTGCGTTTGTTTCGGAACTTATTATTTAAAATATAAGGGAAAGTATTCTTTGCAACTTTCACGCTGTATACCGAGTGCTTCGTATGTAGCGGAATGCCAATTTAAAAAGTTCAAATTACTCTAAAACTTATTCAACAACAGAAACAATTTTTTAAATCTTAATAAAACATTCGAATCGTTCGTCGTATGTTGATTAAGACACTTTTCACTAGCTATTAAATTCTAAGATTATAAGAATCGTTTTATTACATAAAAGTGGCTTTGTCAGGCATATTGAGCACTAATTATACTAGTAGATTATTTACAGTATATCACCATGCATCTACTCATATTTATTGCTAATGACATACATATGATTGGCAAGTAACAGTTGTACTTATATTTCACTTTTTTAATTAACTGTACGAGATTAAATTGAATATTTGTTACTTACTTCTTCAAGCACTGTCGCAATATTGAAATTAATATGATTTATTTTTCAGAAAGAAGTAATATGAATTGCAAAAGATTGCCGTCAAGTGTTCATATGCATAGTTTCCGTTATTACTCTACCAATAGTAACTTTAGTCACATTGATGAACAAGGTAAAGCAAGTATGGTTGACATTTCAATTAAAAAATCTACTATAAGAAGCGCTACCGCGACAGCTTCTGTATATGTTAATGACTGCATTGTAAAGCTTATAAAAGAGAATAGTTTAAAAAAAGGGGACGTTTTAAACGTTGCACAAGTAGCAGGTATAACTGCTGCTAAAAAAACATCCGAACTTATTCCTTTGTGTCACAATATTGCACTGACTAACGTTAAACTTAATATAACGTTAGACGAAGGTGAAAACTTAATAAAAATTATTGCAACGGTCAAGTGCGAAGCAAAAACAGGAGTTGAAATGGAAGCATTAACTGGTGCCGCTGTTGCTGCTCTTACGGTATACGATATGTGCAAAGCAGTCAGCAAAGATATCGTTATAGGTGATATATATTTACTAGAAAAAAGTGGGGGTTCAAGTGGTGAATATAAAAAACAATTGGTAAGTGATATTGTTGTGGAATAAAACAAATGTAATATTATGGTGTGTAAATAATTTTTGAATAGATTATTATTTTTGATAATAGTATCTTACTATATTTAAATTTGTCATCATCACAAGTTCGTTAGCGGAGACTAGTACGCATCTCCACTCCTAACAACATTTCACATCCCTAACTATCTGCGAACAGTAAATAACTTAATCTAGGGTCTTACTCTGCTCCTCCATACCATCAGCCTCTTCTGTTCTATTTTTCCCAATGCCTCCTCATTTTTAATCCACTGTATTTTCTATATATGTAATACTCCTACATTTCAAGGACCTGTAACTGAACTGTCACTGGCCAACTTTAAGTGAGATAGCAAACGATTGTTTCTATCTCTATTTTGATAATTAAGCTTAAAAGCGTGCCCAATTACCGAACGTGTGCGTAAGACTCCAAGGTACTAGTGAAATACAACGCATATTATGTCTGCAGACAAACAATACTTATAATAGCATTAACATATATGAGACGTATAACCAACACATCGATGGTCGATCATGAGGTGATTGTTGATCGATCATAGTCGACCAGAGGCACTCTCAATTTTTCCCTACGAACAAGACGTAAAATGTGCAAATTTAAATCATTAATTTAGTTAATTACTGACACAAATGACAAATATTTTATACAACTTTTTTATGAAATTTTCTTTTTCAATAAGTTATATTATTTAAATTTTCTTCAATTATTTTATTTATAAATGATAGATATATTTTAATAAACAAATCTTTTGGTTTATTTACAAGATATACAATTTATGAAACGTCCATAGTAAAATGATAATCACAAAAAACATCATTTAAGTATTAAAATTAGCCACAATTGTGCATGATTTCACCTGCTCTAACAAATCACAACAACGATAAATTGATAAATCTTAACATCTTAAAACATCTAGTTCCTCAGGTGTAAC